GGTAACTGTCCCCCACACATGTCCCCTGTCAGGTCACCCCTCTGTCATTCAATAGGACCCCTTGTGGAGACCTATCCAGTGAATGGATTGATTCTTGCAGCTATTTCTGGTATTTTCCCAGCCAGCCTCCCTGCTCTCCAGGCCTGAAATGGTGACATGGTGCTGACCTATCCCTCCTCATCCCACGATCATTCACCTGCTGGTTGCAAAGGACCTACGTAGCCAGGAGGCCTGATGACACAAATCCTGGAATCACCCAAACTTTTTTTCTAAGGAGGTTCCAAAGTGGCTGCAGAACTCTGAAGCAAACTCCAAACCTAGGTCTTGTCAGGATGTTGAAACCCGTCACACTTTGGCATTGATTACTTTTTTGGAGGCTCAGATTCCAAGTTGTTCCAAGTCTAGAACAAAGGGATGGGCAGAACAGCACATTGTGTGCTCAGTGCTCCACCCTCCCCACCTGGACACAGCTCGAGTGGACACTCCCGTCATGGCCAACTAAGCACGCAGCTGTCAGCATAAGGGCATGTCCTCAGAGCCAGAGGGAGTGGCAGGAAGTCCTCTTCCAGGTGAAGAATGGGCTGTGTGCGGTCACCCAAGACACTGGCAGGCCCGTAGCCACAGGCCCAGTGTTGAATTGTTTTATCGGCTCCACCACTCCTTTTCCCTGTCTGCTTCTGTTACTTTTATTCTCTGTCTGCTTTGCCTTTTGCTGACAACTGCCAGGGAAAAAAGTATGATTATCACTTCCATAAGCAAATGTATTTCAGGCCAGCCTTGGGGGGGGGGCGTTAGTCTGTTAACAAGGTTGACAGGGCTGAGCAGCATTTGCAGATCAGGGCAGCTGAGCTGTGGACTGACAGACAGAGAGGCCTGGCCCTGAACACCAGGCCAGGAGGGGACACTGCGAACAGCAGCCTCACGACTGTCTAGACACACACTTCCCAACCCGTTAGTCTCTAAACTGTTCCATGAGAAAAGCATCATGGGAAATATCATAGAACTTTGAACATGCATGAAGTCGCAAAGAAATGATTCATCTTTTTCAGTTTTGTGTTTGTAACCTGGGCTAGAAATACCCAATCTACAGAAATGCTTAAGGGATTTAACACAGAAACACCAGACTGAGTATACGCTCTCAATTTGTTGTGAATGACCCTCCCCTTCCTCTGAACCATAATCTCACATACATCAAGGTTTTAAATGCATTCAGAGCTCAGCTGGCCATGGATCTGGTGGCTCCCCTGGACCTCAGTGGGAATGGTGGTGAGAAAAACATGCAGTGTTTATTGAGAATTTACCCTTTTGTGCTCAGTTCATTTTCCTTCCTGATACTTGTCAACCTGACGCACACTTTTTTTTAAAGATTTTTTATTTATTTATTCATATAGAACTGGGGTACAGGCCAGAGATGTGGAGGGTGAGAGGATTCACCAGAGACAGAGTGGGGAGCAGAACAGGCAGATTGACCAAGTACACTGCTGAGGGGAGCAGCGGATGGGTCAGGAGAGGTCTGCCTCGCCCTGTGGGTCACCTCTGGGGCAGGCGGGGATCGAACTCATGGGGAAGTGGCTTTAGCTTCTTAGTGCTGTGCTTTAACCTGCTGCACCACCAGGGAGGCCCACACACATATCTTTGTTTGGTTCTGCCTCCTCTCTAGAATATAATCTCCATGAGGATGAGAATGTTATTAACTGTTATATCACCAACATCTGGGAGGATATTTGACAGTAGCATTCTTTAAATATTTGCTCAGTAAATAAGTTTAATCCTAGGTATTATATATATATAGTGATTCCTTCTCCTTTGAGGTCAAATAAGGACGTGTTGCTGAAGTACTCTAGCACAGTTAAGGGCAGAAGCTGTGGAGGCACACTGTAGACATATCACCTAGGGGCTGTGCAACCTTTGAAAAGTGACTTGACCTCTCTGAGCCTAGTCTCCTCATCCACGGAACAAACCTAATGGCACTATATCATACCTTCACAATGAGAATGCAGCAAGTTAGCATGTGAACAATGAGGGCCCAGTGTGTGCACTCAATAAACATGGGCTGACTTTAGTATCTATACTTCCTGGAACAACAAACCTTTGGCTATTAAAAGAAAACCCTCTAAGGACAAGAATTACAGCTGAAGCAGGTTAAAAGCCCTAACAGACAGAGTGCTGTACTAAGGCTGGTGAATCAGCACTTTCCTCCCTGTTTACTCCTCTGTCCAGAGCACTGATTAACATGCTCCACGGAAGAGATCCAGGACGAACTTGAATGACAAGGAGAACGACCTGCCCTCTCACGATACACGCCATTTCCTTATTAAAAGTTTACTTTAGTAACAAAGTTTATGTGACATTTGCAGGGAGGGGGGGAGGAGGAAGAGAAATGAAGAAGCAGGCTGGCCTGGGCTGGACCCAGAGACCCAGAGGTTTGGTGAGGATTCACCGTTTCGGGGCCACCTGCCCTCCTCAGAGTGCTGACCAGGCACAAGGAGCATGGTGCAAAGCAGTGACACAGCCACCGGGGTCACTCAACCTCCGGACACCTGAGAACAGAGGTGCTGACACCCGTGGAATGTGACCTTCAGGAACGACACGTGCGCTCACAGTCATGAGAGAACCAGCCACTTGTCCTGGCCTCCCTCTGAAAGGTTACTTAAATATTTGGTGAACTTTTACTGGGTTGTTGAACAGTCAGAAGTGGTATTGCCAGCCAAAGTGCAGCTCCTGTCTTGAGATATTTCTTCCTTAGAAAAGTTAAAGTTCACTAATACAACCCTATTACTGGATATGGTTGTTTAGAAAACAGTGCATTGATATGGGTGATATCAGAAATAATAAGTATTAGAAAGCTACATGACAGCTTTGGAAACACGAAGTTATGGCAACCTCTGGATGCTTCTGTTTCCTGTTTTGGAGCATCAGTTATTGGGGGTGGGAGATGGTATTTGTATTAGTACTGTTCATAGAGACAAGATTTTAAGTATTAAATGTAAAGTAATTAGGTACAGATTGAAAAGGTTACTGAACTTACCCGGCTTCTGGATCCTGTCATCACCATAGCCATGACCAGATACATTTCTAGCCCCTCAGTTCCTGGGAGATTATGAAGGCCCCGGGAGATGCCATACAGAAATGGGGTCCGCAAGGTGCCCAGGGCTGCTAGTCACAAACGCCAGGCCTCAGACCATGGTCCTTCGGGTGGGGAGATGGCTTATTCTTCCCCCAGTCCGGTTTCCCAGGGAAAGGTTTCTTGTCGGTAAAGTGGCCCCTGGGCCCCTCACGCCTCAGCCGCCCTGAAAACCATCCCCTAAGGGCAGAGCTGCCTAAAGCTGGCACAGCAGCAGGGTCCGGGCGCCGGCTGGCGCTGCTCGCCAGGTCTCGGTCAGAGCGCCCTCTGCCGGCAGACGCCACGCGGGCAGCCATTGCCCAGAGAAATGCACTGGCCGAAAACCAGCCAGGTTCTGAGGGAAAGGTGTTAGCGATAGCCGGCCCGTAATCTGTAGTACTGGTAGATTCGCAACTAGAAGTGGGAAAATTAAAAATTAAAATCAAACAGTTCACTTGGAGCTGGCCTGCAAAGTAGTGGCCGAGGCAGGCCGCAGGCTTGACTGCTTTGCGCGGAAGCTCACCTTTCGCACTGCGCCCTGCTCTCAAAGGACAAGGTAAAAGGCCCTGGAATCCAACAAATGTGAGGTTCCCTGTCTGGATTATCCTTCTCTCTGAACATGGGAGTCACGACAACCCACCCAGGATGAGATCGCTGTGGTCCAGCAGCAGGACCCCAAAATTGGAGCCAGGGCAAGGAGACCGGTGCTTGCACCTATATTCATCTCGCGGCCCCAGGGGCTGCCCTGAGCTGGCAGAGAACCCAGGGACAGCACGTGAAAGCTTTGTCCACTGAAAGCAGGCAGTGCAGCAGATGCAATCACCAGGGAGACGCAGATGCTGTGCGTCTTATCACCTTAACCACGAAGCCTTTTTTAAAATCGTGTGGAACATTTCTTGCATAAACTGGGTTTTAAAAGACAAGCCTCATTATACTTCCTAGAAAGACCGCTCAAAGGCTATTTCTCTAAACCAGGCTTAAAAAAATCTCTAGCCTGGCTCGCATGTCATTGTGTGTGGCTAGAAACCACTGGGCACTCTGCTTTTTGCCTGAAACTTTCCCCGTGGGATCCCCGAGTTCAGTGGAACCCTTTCTGCTTTCCATGCCTCTGCGGGCAGCAGCCTCGGCAAAACAGGGCTTTTTCTGCCTCTTCTTCAGCCGCGAGATCCTTTACCCAGGGCTCAGGGCCTCGGCCACGCTGCCCCGGTGCCCTCTGTTGGCGGCTCGCAGAACTGCCCACTGTCAGTCACGTGGAACAGCTGACCTGTTACCGTCTATCTAGGTTAACCAAAACCTTACATGTGGCCAAGTGACAAAAAATACGAGTGAGCTAAAGGAAGCTTTTGCATTCAGTGAGCTCATGCAAGTATAGTTTTCTGTTTTTAGAGCTTTGGAGTAAAAGCTTCTGTCCTCAGATCTCTCCTCCCTACCAGACAGCCCATTAGCTGACCCTGCGTGATGTCTCAGCACTGACCAGTATCTGACATCTTATAAACGTGCTTTATCTTTTCTTTATCTTGTTCTCTACCAGAACTTAAGAAGATAAAGCGGGTGTCTTACCCATATTCTCCTCTCACCCCAATCCTCATGGCTGCCAGGGATAGAATAGGTACTCAAAACTTTTTCAGTGAATTTTCAAACTTAATGAAGGGCTACATCTAAATCAGCTTTGGAATTAGAAAGAAAAATTTCACCGGAGAAAAAAATGTTAATGTTAACCTAAAGCTCTTAGAAAAAAATTAAGGAGCTGGGGGGACCAAAAGGTCTAGGCAGAAGAACTTAAGGGAGACTAGGCTGGTCAGGAGGTTTTAGATAAAACTCAAGTTACAGGACGGAACTAAATAAGGAAGAGTAAAAGTTTGATACCATCAGACAATTACAAAACAAATACAAGAGGTGCTAACTAGAAAAATCATTTATTTCTGCTCCTTTCATACATCGTGTTGTTCAGGAAACAGTGTCTCACACACCAGTCTGAAGGACGTATGGTCACACAGGTTTAAAGGCAAAGCACCAGAGAGAAAGCTGAGCAGTCCGGGGCCTCAGCCGAGGGGCGCCCACCTCCTGATTTGACCTTCATTTCCGAAAATCAGAAGTGTCATCTCCAAAAAGTGTTAAGGGAGGGTTGTAAAAAATAATACCTTTATTCAATATTATAGTTTTAGAAATGGAGTTTTTTTTTTCTTTAAGAATGAGAAAACTAAGGAGAAACTGCCACTTGACATTGTTGGTACATCAAGCGAGGTCATCAGGAAAAACACTGTGATGAGCTTTGCTCTCTGACACCAAGACCGTCGAGTTCAAGCTTTAATGTTCTTCCTGTGGCTTCACTAGATGCTTCTTTTCTGCTGTTTTTCATCCTTTTCCACATTTCATAGAGGATTGGTAGAGCCTTTAAAATTTCACTAGCAGGAACAAATCCAGTCTCCACTGATTTCTTCTCAAAAGGCACTCTAACCCATCAGATAGCCACTGCAGAAATACATTTGGTAAACACAAAGGGTGAAAATCAGGAAGCAGTGTTTCCTTCAAAGTGCCCAAATTTCATAATCAGGTGATAATCAAACAATTTAAATGTGGACTTGTTCGTTACAACCCTTACTTGGACCCCATACATTACTGGGCCTCAATCTTACTGCCTCTTCCCCATCCAAGAATAAAGATACAAACCAACATGCGCAACAAGCAAACGACACAGAATGGAAAAAAAAAAAAAAAGAAGAAATGTTACCTTGGACTTAAAAGTCAGAATTTCCTTTGGACTCTCACCATTGCAACAAAAATAATAAATCTTTTTATGGAAAGAAGAAATTCTGGACTTTCCGAAATCCCAGTATTATTGAAGGAGAAGGGAGAAGCAGGAGCCGTCCTGCCCTGAGCCCCGAGACTCAGCAAACAGAAGGGTGTTTGCTGGAGCTGCTGAGAGGGTCAAACTTCATGTGAATCAAAGAGGAGACCCTCTTACTATCCCATTTCCTGAACTCCCCTCTGAATTAAAACCTTAAGTTTGGTTTTATAAAGTTCCAAGTTACTTTCTTTTGCCATAAACACCTGCAACCTCCTATTAAGGATCTACAGTATCCCAGGGGAAAGAAGACAGTAATTTTGTAAAACCATCACACTGAGAAGGGCTCAATTCATGCAGTCTCCAGTGACCCTTCTGAAGCCACTGGGGGAGCCTGGGCAAACCTCCCTCACTTTCCTCACCTGTACGGGGGGGTTACCAGAAAGGGTCTTCAGCACTGTGAAATTCTACTGCAGAGTAACTGATCCTCACGGTAATAAGCACTTGGCCACGTTAGAGTAACTGATCCTCACGGTAATAAGCACTTGGCCACGTTAACTGCTCTTATTTAGCTCTTCACCTGTAAGTGGGGTTGACAGCTGTGCCACAGGGCTGAGACCCAGATGCCCAGCATACAGCAGACACTCTCCTCTCTTGCAGCTGGACTCACTGGCCTCCCCAGAAGGCTCAGCCCTCAGTGCAGATAACACCCTCTCCCTAGCTCATCCCTCCTCTTCCTTCTGCTCCCTCAGCCTGGCCACACTCTACACTGAGTGCAGGGAGCATGTCCGTCTCCCACAGCCAACTCCACACAACTCCAGTACACCCCAATACTTCTCACAGCCCTCAAACTGAATAAAAGTAAACAGGCTCCTAGGTTATACATTAACATTGAAGACTGCATTTGTTTGTGACTGGAGTGCTGGTACTTCACATGCTTTAAGACCTAAGCCTCGTAAGAAAAGAAGTCCAAGCAGACTTCAGCAGGACCCAGACACACCGGCAGGGATGGCAGTGGACAGGCAGCTCCCACCATGGACCAGAACGTTGGGCCTGCAGCGTGACCCACCACCACACGTGCTTTGGGATGAGCGCATGACCTAAGCTTATTACAGGCCCACAGGTCACTGTCAACCCACACTGAGAAGGAAGATAACTCTGAAATGGACAGTCTTGTTCAAAGCTGCTAACCTTGCGTAGAGGCCTGACCTAGGAAAAATTAGAGGGGACACTAAGAAATATTACAATGCAATAAAGATGCCACGCTGGGAGCAAAGACATAAAAACTAATATACTTCTTGGTAGGGAATAAAAATAAATTTGTTGCAAGACATTTACTGTGGTTTCTCCAGAAGTCATACAGTCCCCTGTCATGATCCAGAAAATACACTGATCTTAAATTTGTAAAATTCTATCAGTGGGAGACACATCAGGCTTTTCAAAAAACATCAGCCTGAAATGTAGAACTAACAGTACCATTTCACTGTATCTGCCTGCTCCTTCTTAAAGACACCTTTGGCTCTCTGAAGACATCAAAGTTCAAAGTGTGTGAAAAAGAACTTACTACTGGAGAACTGATCTGATCAGAAAAAGCTGTGGTCACTTGCGGCTTTTAATATCCTTTTATAGCTGTTGCTGTTTCACCTAAGATCTGGCAAAGTGTGTGCAGCTAGGACAGCACAGCAGAGGTGACAGGGCCACAAGACACCCCCTCTCCTGGCTGGGGGTGACCAGCAGCTCTACTGTGTGAAATGCACACCCACACATCTGCCTCAGCAGCTCTGGGGCCTGTAAATACTCCCGAAGATGTAGCACTGTTGTTTCCCCTTTGTATGTAAAGCGCCCACTGTTTTCTCCCCTCTACACTCAAGGTGCCAGGAGTTAGCTGGAGATGAGAAATCCTATCAGAGGGAAGTGTGAATTCCTTCTTGTTAAAACTTTACATTCTGGATGACACAATTTTTGTCTTTAGGCTACTGTTCTGCTGTAACTACATCTCAACAGTTTGCACTGAAACCCTGGGCGGATACTGTATGTTCTGTTGTTGACTGAGCCAACAGTCTTGGATCTACGGAATGAGGACAGGAAGACAAATGTTTACATCAATATAAAAGTAAGCGAAGGCAATCCAAAGAACCCAATATTTTGCAAAGCTGTTTTGTAAGCAGTGACTAGCTTTGTTTCCCTAAGTCATGGCTGAGCTAACAGATAAACATAATCCAGAGCAAACCGAAAACCCCAAGGAAGGCCGTGAAGCCTAGGCTTAGTGAGAACAAAGCTGGCTGTACGGGCCAGACAGCCCTCTTTGTTATGTGTGTGCCCCCAAATGCTCCCGTATGTGGGTCACTCATTTCTAATAGTCTCTGTATCCCCTCTGGGACACTTCTTCAGTTTCTTCTATACCAGCATACTTTGCCAGGCTCTGCGGACTTGTTTCCAATAGGGGCAGAATAAAGAACAAGCTAAGGAAGCTGGAGAACTGTCTTCGTACTCTGTAGCCCATAGCCAGGACAGTTTTCCCCAGACCATCAGTAAGAGCCACTGGCAGAGGGACGTGAGGAGCTGTACAGCCCCAGGGACATTCAACTGCCAAGGAACAGAACGTGGTGCTCTCCCTTCCCATCCTGCCAGGTGGAGCGGGAGCAGGGCCATGGGACAAGTGCTTCTGACGTTATAGGGGATGCCTGCCAGTCTACCCCAGAGCTATTACAAGGACAGGCAAAGCCGCAGAACAAGCAGCGCATGGAATTTAAACACATTCCTGCATTTGTTCAATTGTGCCTTATCGAGAAAGAAGAGAATGCCAAGTTTGAAAAACACCAGACTCCGTACTCTATTTCTATATTTAACATATGCTGAACTCTATAACATATTCCCTGAAAAATGAATTTACCAAGAACCAACCTTTGCATGGTGTGCTTGCTCAGAGTTCCTGTAGTTTACCAGCTCCTAACCCTCCCCCCAGGCACAATCAGGATAGGGAAGTCTGTGCAGACCAGCGCACATTTCAAATGAATGGCCTCCAGTGGGATTATGACAGTTGCCATATAACTAATGTATGTTTGCTCCAAAGATATTTTGTCTTCTGAATCAAAATGATTTTATACATATGCATACATTATGTTAAATATTAATCACATATATAATTACTTCTCCATCTTCTTGAGAGGCAAGAGCTCTCCTTTTCATCCAAAGTTAAATGGGCTTTCTTCATATCAATTTTCAAATAACTGCAGCAATTAACAGCTGCAAAATAATCCCTCACATTGTTATTATCACTGTAATCCTCTGTGTTACAGATGAGGCAAAACAACAGTTTAGAGCAACAGCTTCTCCATTTTACTAATGCAAAATGCCCGAATTTTCTCAGGACCATGCATCTGGCAAGCCAGAGACCTCATGATCTCGATTTTGTCACAGCCAACAACGACAACCTCGAGCAATTCACACATGTGTTTGGTTCTCAGAATTTTTCATCTATTTAAATGAAGATTAGAGTAAATCTAAATTTAATTTAAATTAAGACATTTTGTTATCCAGGTAATTATTTTAGCAGTTTTCAACAGAAGTTAAGTTGCTGATTAGACAAAGTACTCTAAATCACTTACGGGAGCTTCATTCTCATGAATACTCTCGCCATGAAAAAACTCAACAGGACACAGACGAATCCAATGAACAGAAGAAGGAATCTATTGAGTTTTGGAATATTTGGTGCATTGGATCGGTCCAGGATTATGAAACCTAAACCTCCCATTGTAAACAGGAAGCTGGATGCGAGTCCTTCCATAATGTACTGCCCATTGACTCTGAAAAAGAAAAGTGGCGCACAACAGTAAGTGAAAATTCCCGAAAACAACAAACTTTGTCTGTAGATTGAGAGTCCCATTTCTGCTAAAACACTTCTGTGCTCGTATTTTACTCTTATCCTTATAAAGACTACTGACTACATTGCTAGATATTCTTTATTCATTCATTCATTCATTCATTTATTCATTCATTCATTCATTCATTCAAGAGATGCTCATTGAGATTGTGATCAAGCACTGCTCGCAGTTTCAGAGACACTACAAAGAACCAGAGACATGGGGCTCTTCATCGAACTTCCATTCCAAAACATGTTCTAAAACTTCAACTGTCTATGTAAAATCAACACTCAAACGCATCTTAATTTTCAGTATTAAAAACCTATTTGATGCATGAACCTTTCCCCCCAAATTTTAGTTTAGCTTTAAAAATTCATACTCAAATTCTGCCTTGTCACCTTCAAGATAATGTGATTAGACACATTACTTGAAGTTTGATAATAACTAATGAGACTCTTGTTTTTGTGATTCTTCCAGGAATACAGAGCTTACATCAAATTCTCAGACTTCATGGACCCCGAAAAGCAAATCTTCCTATTAAAGGGATGTGCCCTCGTAAAGAAGGTATGTGATGTATTTTCGGTTAACTAACTGCCCAAAACATAATGCACCAGGTTCAAAATTCAGAGGGCACAAATGAGGCCATGGGGAAAAGTACCCCTAGCCATCAGGATCTGTCAGCGAGCCCCCTTTTTATTTCATGTGTCAGGCAGTTTCTGTATTTCAGTTCATCTGTATCAATTCATCTACTATACAAATGTCCAGTCTTTGTCATTCAACTTGCTTTACTATGTATAATGCTGTCAGGCTCCCCATTCTGCGTAAATGGCATTTCATCTTTCCCTATGGCTGAGTAGTATGTGGACAGACCACATTGTATTGATCCAGTCTTCTATTGGGGGATTTTATTCTTTCTCAAATAGCCAAATAGTCACATGGTTTGATCACATCAGAGTAGCTTGAAAGCAGACACATAATAGGATTAAACAAATGAGCAGGCCTTAAAACGAATGTACCTGTGGGTACAAATAGGTACCCCTAGATTGCTAATTCACAGAATAGTTTATAAAAATATTTTATACTGACATCTTCCTTCAAAGAGACATCACTGTGAAATATTTTATTCCATGTGACTCGCTCTATGCCATTTCTGAATTTAGCATTAAAAAAAAAAAACCTCCCGTTGGGCCCTCCCTGGTTGTGCAACAGGTTAAAGCACAACACTATGAAGCTATCGCAGCCAATGCAGCCCAAGTTCAATCCCTGGACAGGAAGGTGACACACAGGGCGCGGCAGACCTCTCCTGACCCACCCGCTGCTCCCCTCAGCAGTATACTTCTTCAATCTGCCTGTCTGCCCTCCACTCTATCTCTGGTGAATCCTCCACCCCCCTGCGCCTCTGACCTGTGCCCCAGCTCTGTATGCATAAATAAATAAATCTTTAAAAAAGAAAAAAAGAAAAGAAAAAGAAAAAACCTCCTGTCTAACAACAGATGGACACCATAGGCCCCACTGTATTTTTAAATAGCAGGCATGCCCCAGCAGCCTTCTTTCCCACCAGCAAATTACCCCAAAAGGTTTCTTTTACCTGTAGGCCAAGAAAGCTACTGGTCTCTGGTGTCCATGCTCATCAGTCATAGAGCCAACACTGGGAGGTTCCACAATCACGTCATAAATTATTCCTATAGGAGAGACAACATATAGCCTGAATCGCCACTATTTAAAATAGGATGAGAGTGTTCATCTATTTTGAAAGGTTCACTTATATTTAAATAAGACTTTTGATTATATTACTATAATCAAATAAAACCCAGTTAATTCTCTAAATTTCAAATAAACCATTTAAAAATTTAACTCAGTATGTTAGCATGGCTTGTGAAACAACAGAATTATCTCTAAAAGAGGTATACATTTCATAAAGGATATTTACTCATTCTTGAGTCTCTAATACTTAAGAATGTTCATAATAAAGGAGATTTAACATTAAAGGCTGTATTCTACTTCAAGAAAAAATTCTATGTAAGTTTGGATGTGTTTCTATACATTGAGAGGTAACAAAAGAAATGTACTGGCTTAAGTGTAAAGTAAGGAGACATTTTAAGTGACACCTTTAGTGATTTATAATTGTTAATGACCACCACTATGTCATAGTCATTGCTATCATTAATATCAATGGCCAACACCATGATTAATTTTCCCAACCTCCCACTGTCAACATCCACTGTTTAGCTTATCCACTCTTCTACAGCATCCCACTATGAGCTTTTTTAAACCTTATTTCTTGTTTATATTATTTTTTATTGCGGTGATAACGCTGTATGACTCAGAGGTACAGGTTCACACCCCTCCGTGTCTGTCATCACACCACACCTTTTGTTAGGCACGGTAAGTCTTCACTTACGGAAGTCGCTCAGGAAGCCCCTAACCTCCTGCCGCGTATGGCACTGCCCACTACCTGTTTCAGAGCCCCCCCTTCTGTAGTGACCACTCCATCATCCCCTGGCCATCCTTTGGCCATCTCTCCTCTGTGTTCACCCTCTCCTTTGTACATCAACCATGCTTGGACTCTGGAACCTCCTAGCTAACATTTTTATGCTTTCCTGAACGGGAGTCAGGGTTCTTTCTGAGAACATTTTGCCATCTCATTCAACTCACCCCGTCTGGATTTCACCAGCACTGACACTACTCTTGCTGAGGTCACCAGTGACCTCCATGTCGCCAATTTCACAGACACCTTTCAGTCCTCCTCTTACCAAGTTTCCCAGCAGCACTTGATACAGTTTACAAAGTTCTTTTACTTTGGAGGGGAAAATGGCTTCTCATGGCTTCTTTCAAACACTTGTGTTTCTCTGGCTGAAAGCCTCTAAATAGGTATCCTTCAGGGCTGGGTCCACTCCTTGCTTTCTCTGCATTCTCTCCCAAACTGAACTCGTCCCTTCCCAGGACTTCCAATTCTTTGTGCTAATGACCTACCTCAATGTGCCAAGACCTATCAAATTATGCTCACACCAGCAGTCCCAGACATTAGTTCCTAACAGCCCGTGTCTCTGTTCTGCAGTATATGACTCCAGGAGGGAGTTCAGAAAACATGTGTTGATTGATGACTCTGAGGCAGATCTCTCTTTTCAGTTTGAGGTTCCCATCTCCAAACTTGACAGCCCAACTAACTGTAGTTCGTCATGTGCAGCGGCTATATATGTAAGGGGCCTCCGGGTCACCATCCCCACCAAAAAAACTTCCTTTTTTCAGACTCAGAAAATGATACTAGTATCTACTCAGATGTTCAAACCAGACATAAGTGAGATGACATCACACTTTATCCCCCTACAAGCAACCACGTCAAGGCCTACTGAATCTACTTCCAAGTACCTTTCAGTGCACGTTTCTTCATGAACAGTGCCACCAACCTAGTCTAGTCTAAGTCAACCACAAAAGCTAAATTCTCTATCTCCTTTCAGCTGTACTTTCCCTCTGTCTGGCATAACCCCCACCCTCAGATGTTGGCCTGCCTCAGGAATGTCACTCCCTCAGGAACCACGCTTCCATCTAAATGTCACTTTACCGCCATTGCTTTCCCATTCTCCTTTGTTCATTTCCTTCAATGCATCTGTAGCAGTGAAAGAATGAGAATTCACCAGTGACTAAGTGGGAGCAGACCAGGCCATCGACCAAGTACACTGCTGAGGGGAGCAGCGGGTGGGTCAGGAGAGGTCTGCCACGCCATGTGGATCACCTCCAGGGCTGGGAATGGAACTTGCACTGAGGTGGCTCCAGCCAGCTTCCCAGTGCTGCACTCCAACCCATTGCACCACTAAGAAGGGCCCAGAAAAAATAATTGAATGGGAATAAAATGTATGTGATACTTTAACATATCTCCATGGCAATATTAAGTTGTGGAAGTTCCTTCATGTTGTCCCTGTTATATAGTGATTGGAACTTAATAGGGTTTCAGTGTATATTTGCTGAATATTTCTCATCCAAATGTGTACACTCAGTTTTGGGGGGAGATTCCGGTGACAAAAGCTATCTTTTGTACAAGGTACCCCACTGGCCTGTACTTCCCCAAGGTCAGACAGTATCTCCACTGCAG